TTTGACCGAAACGGCTTGAATTTGAACTATTTTGGGCTTCGCATGGATCTTCCGAACTCTTTCTTGCTGACTCCGAACTCCCGCGTTTTGACGCTACCGCGAGCCTCGAACTCCATACTGGCAAGGATCGAGCTCTTCTACTAGACTGAATCGAACTCCCGACTGGTTAAACTCGATTCTTATAATAAAATATCTATAATTCCAAGAGGATTATTATGTAATAATGACGTGGACAGATCCAAGTGATCCTACCGAAAATGTGTGGGATCCGACCCCAACACGGAGTAAACCGGATGATCTGTTTTACAGTATAAGTCAAACATGTAAGCAATACAGAATCATAAATGAGAATAACGTTTTCTTCTTCATCTTTGTAACAAACTTTCTTCTCTAACACATATATATTTTAGAAAATGCAGCATAATTTTTTCTAAATATAGATTTATTAGCATAATGCGCAATATAAAACATTATTTATAGTTATGTTATACTAATTATTAAATCATCTAATATAAATGTTAGCTTATTTATAAAATTAAATAATTTTTTTTTCTTATTATAAGTTATGAAGTCATAAATGTTCATATGTTGTATTATTGAATTTTAATAAGTTATTTACATTCATCGGAAGAGTTTGTTACATCTTATAATTTCTATGTGTGCAAGATGGAAACAAAACTATGACAATAAAAAAAGATAAAATTATATAGTTACATAGACATATGAACGATATATGTATAATATGTAAATATATAGTTTAAGTTACGTAAATATATATTTTTTTTAGAAAAGTTTGGCGTCATAATAAAATTATGACGATAAAAGAAGAGAAAACATGAGACCGTCTATATCCATGTCATATAACTTTACTTGATAATATGAAGTATCCTCAACAGAAAGAAACAATCTTATAAAGAATTAGAAAATATACACTAAATAATTTAAGACTAAAAAAATTAAGAAAACAACATCAGACTAAACAGTATCTATTTTGTTACATGGCTTTTGTCATTTGAGGCCCATATTACCAATTTCTTCATTTTTTCTTCTTTCTAATTCTCAGATCTCTATTTATTTCTCATTAGATTTGTCTTATTTTGCTCGAACTCCTATTTCTTTCTCCTCTCCCTCTCGTCGGATTTCTTCACCACCATATCTTTATTTATTTATTTTTCCTATCTCCATTTCTCGCATTCGTCGAGCATCATTACCGAGTCTAACTACTCTGACCCACCACCACAACTGAATCTCACTACTATCGTAATCACCATTACCATCAATACTAAATCTCGCTAATTCCGACGCACCACCTTTTTCAATATTTACCGCCGGCACCACCACCAAGCTTGAACCACCATCATCAACACCAACACTACTGTTACCGCTTCTTATCCTCTTTCCCCAACTTTGCTTATTACTCCACCTTATTTATCTCCTCCGACATTAGACCAAGCCTCTCTGACAATAGCTCTAGTATATGTCTATCTCCGTTCATAGTTATTAATTTGTCTCAATTGCCATATTTTTATTAGATCTGAATATCACATGCTATTTTTAGAAAAAACATTGTGATTCAAAGTATTTTTTTATAATTGATATGATATAACATCGTTAAGAAATTAGTTTGCTTGATGAGAAAATATGAGTCAATCTATTTGTTTATATAAAGGTGACAATTTACTATCTTTTTTCTTATAGGATTAATGACTGATTGTATAATTTTTATTTTTTTTTTCTAATTTTAAATCTTTTTCTTGTACAGTTAGTAACTTATAAATAAAACGTTTAGCATAATTTTATAATTTCAATGTTTTATGAAAATATACATATGAATTCCTTATATATATATGTATAGTTTTCTTATTATAATCTTTTTATATTTTTAAACCTGTTTAAATTTATAGTTTTATTACAATTATCTTTTAAAAACAAATTTTTTTTTAGATGGCAAAAACTCTAATGAAAATATATGTACAATTTCCTTATAATTATCTTTTTACATTTTAAAACTGTTTAAATTTATAACTTTTTATAATTATCTTTTTACCTTTTTTTTAGAAGGAAAATTTTATTTGACACATGTCAAAATCTCATATCAAAAATTTTAACACGTGTCACAATCTCGTGAGTTACTAACTTTGAAAATCCTACTTTATATAATAAGATCCTATCTTCTCCTTACCCTAACAAAGGTTAGGGCTTTTTCGGATTTTTTGAGCTTTTCTTTCGAGAAAAAAAATAAAAATTTATAATTTATAATATCTATTAAAAAAATCTATGTAGAAAACTGGTCAATCAAAATTTAAATAACCACTAAAGCCAAAAAAAGAGAAAGTTTAAAATCAAATAAATAATCCAAATTAATTAACTCATACCAAATAAAAGATATAATTAGAAGACTTCATACAAGGGAATTAAGCCAAGATTTGCTATTTAGATTTATAGTAAGGCACAATTTGAAATCTAGGTTTAGGGTTTTCAACTCTATTAAAAAAATTCCTTAAATAAATATTCCTCAAATATATAATACGTAAAATAAAGAAAAAATATCTCTTTTTTAGAATCACATAATATCAACTCGTATCAACACCTTTGAGGCAACAACGTTAATTTTTTTTTATCTTTTGTTTAAATAAATTTATATCATATACAAGCATAATATCATATTTTAATGTGACAGCAATAGAATAACAAATGGGGGTGGGGGGGGGGGAATGTCATTTAAATCTTGAAAAAGTAAGATTAAATCGGGATATAAGAAGAAATCGAGAAGATTAGAGATGAAATCGAGAAAATTTTTAATTTTGAAGTTCTAATTTTGATATCAATTTTCTGCTTTCTATTCCGATTTTGTGTCTCAATTGGTTTTGTCAACGAGAATTTGTGATTAAACTGAAAGTCAACATAAAATTGAGCATTTTAATCGCCAGGTACAGAGTTCATGCTTTAAATCAACGAAAATGAACAACTGATGATTTAAATGACATTTTTCCCAATAACAAATTGATGACACATGCATGATGATACATAATCACAGATGATCAAAGTACACATGATCACAGTAAAAGAAGAAATCTTAGAGTTTGAATAGAGATTTGCAAAAGGTTTTAAGAATGTCTTAAGAGAAATTATGTGAAATAGACACTTTTTCTACAAATAATTTGTAAAGTAGGTAGATTTTTTAGAAATAGAAGAAATAGACATTTTTCTCTTTTCTCTCTAATACAAACTTTTTGTCTAATAGAGATTTTAGTAAATGACTTATATAATCTTTTGTTGTTTTGATATGTAATAAGATAAAGATAAAATTGAAGTCAAAAACTACTTTTTCTCTTTTTTTTTTCTTTTTACTTAAATACATTAGTTTGTTTTGGTAAAAATTCTTCAAAAAAAATTACCACATAAACATATTAATCTCTTAAAAAAAAATTGTGAATCTAAAAAATCCAATTTTGATATATTTCAAAGATACGCAACAATTTTTTTTTTTAATCTCAATCTGACGGTATACACAATATTGTAAAAAGTGGTGTGCAAATTGTAGTGTACGGCCAGAATGTAAGTAATGTATAATATTGATGTAAGAAGTGGTATACAAGGTGGTGTACAAACGATAATGTACAGTGGAGTGGTGTACAACTATACAATATGATGATGTACGAAGATGATGTAAAATATAGTGTACATGATATTTATGGTGTACATGAAAGGATGAGATAGTGGATTGCACCATATACCACCTCGTGCGCAGTCTACAATATCGTACATCGTCACCTATTTTGTACACCACATACAAAGAGAAAACCATTTTTGTTAAGTGATAATATACAAAACGATGTTTAAGTAATAGTGTACGAGATTGGTGTACAAAAGAGTGTACAAACTTCATTGTACACTACGTAGGAATGTATAAACGTTATTTCAATTTAATGGTATACACTATCATATTCAATTTAATGGTGTACATAATGGTGTACACCATTATATTTAGTATGACCTTTGGTTTACATTACCATCATGTTTGTATTAATATTCGGAACAATTATTTCTTCAATTTATAAGTACGAGACAAGTCGATGTACTTGATAATTTATGAAATAGTGTACAAAACGATATTTTAAATGCTTGTGTATGAGATTGGTGACAACTAAATGTTAAAATTACCATAATTTTTTAAAAAATAAAAGTTTATCTTTTAAAAATAATATTTAAGAAAATAAAAAATAAAAATAACAAGGAAAAAAATAAAAAAAAGTGGTCCCTCATATTATATCTCTTATCTCTCAAGACAAAGTGTATTTTAGTATTTGATATATATTTTGTCTTTTGGTCTACTAAACATATCCTCTATCTTACAAAAAGCAAAAAAGTGTATATTTCTCTAATTTTTAAACAAAATACCTACTTTTCAAATTATTTTAGAAAAAGTGACTACTTTGCTAAAAAGCCCATCTCTTAAACAAAACTATTAAAAGAAAAACAACCTTAGAAAGTAGAAAAATCGCACAGAACACTGTGTCTCTGCGTCTAGAATACATATGATATTTATATACAATGAGTAAGAACCTAAAACTTAGAAATATGAAAGCCAAACCAATCGTTTTTGTACATCTTTTGTATTGACCGGGGCAAAAGTCTAACCGGTTGGTCTTGATCTTCAATCTTTTCTTCTCTTGACACATTTTTTTCATTTTCTACTTCTAAACTCCTCTTTTTACTCGAACAGGTGCAGAAACATGTAATAACTCAATAGCATTGAAAACTAACTTGTCGTCAAGCAAGAACAATTTCAATTCCAAATCCAATGAGAAAGGTTTCAAAGACGGAAACTCACTTATCTTTGAGGAATCTCTACTACACACTCTTCATCGCCTCGTTCTCTAGAACTTATGAAACAACCCGACCCGTTTTTTTTTTAATTATTTAACTAATATCCCTATAAATATTAATTAATTTCACCAATTTAAAATCATGCCAAAACCAACACAACTCAAATCAAAAATCCAAATTCAACTTATTTTAATTTAACCAAAATAAACCAAGAAATTATCTAACAATTCTAACAACTTCTAATCCAAAATTCTATCATACTAAAAATAATAAACTAACACCAACGAGACCCTAGATCATCCTCCTCTCCTCGCCATGATTCCATGATCACACTTTATCTTTACCTGCACCAAGAAAAAAGATACATAAGTATTTCAATAAATACTTAGTGAGGCGATACTCCCATCTACGAGCTATACATAAAAGCAACTAAGATCACAATTCAACATATAATTCATGAAAACAAACCAAACCAACGACAAATCATTCAATAACACAACCATTTCACTGATTTTAATTCTGGATCTATCAAAAATCCAACCTACACATCACAACAAAAAATCACATAATCCCAATTGCTTAGATACGCCCATGTTCACGCACTCACCTCAGCTTAGGATGATTTTTGAACAATAACAACACCATACAACCACAATTGACTTCTTCCTCACGTCAACAGTATCTCAAATCACCCTAATTGCCAACCACAACGATAAAAACATCAATTAAACCCAACTGTAAAATTCTGGGAAAATCACAGAATTATCAACCTGAAAGATTGGACCACGAAACAACATCTAACCGTCCACTTTCAAATCCCACCGTTGAAAACCTTTACCTAGGTGTCCTGAAGCTACTCTCAAAATTTCGTGACGATCAAACAAAGGATTCGCTCGCAATCTCTCTTTGAACACACAATGGTCTAAATCGCGTCTGAAACAGAAGAGCTCACGAAAATAGAGATAACTCTTTGAATATTGACCCAAATCAATATCCGCAAAAGGCTACAACTAGATATAAGTCTTACCTACGATCCCTGAAAATTTAGTCACCTTTGAAAGCGATTTGATACACCGAAACTCTGTTCTACCAAAACATGTCCTTTCTACCTCTGTTTTCCTTCACCAAACTTCAACCTCTCCCTCTTTCTCACACAAAACTCTCTTTCTCTCCTTTTCTTTTGCAGTTCACGACACAGGAGGTGAAGTAAAGGTGGCGTCAACTTGATAAGGAGAAAAAGAAATAGGGCCTTTTGATTTAATTTGATTAAACCATGATTTTACTAAACCAGAAATTAATTAAATCCCTCTTTGCTTTAATTAATAACTTCATTCCAATTATAGATATAAACACAACTATTTCATTCTTTTTGGAACACAGATAGTACAACTTACTTCATGTATTTATCCATGAGAAGCTTTAACATTCTTTACTCTAAAACCTGCGATCCATAGGAATTTTTTATATCTCCGTTTTCATCTCTTTACAAAGGTTTAGTTAAAGCAAGCGATATCACCGAGGGAATATCGACCACAAAGCATTTTTTACACGCATACGTCTTGGTTCTTTTGACAGACAATGGTCAAGACTTTAAAGAAAGCTTCTCCAGTTTAATCATTCTTCCCGTTTTTATTCTTCTTTTTCATTTTTCTCTTTTGTTCTCTCTGTTTTTTAGCATGGAGATAAGAAGATATAACCACCATCGATGACCAATTTCTTGTCAGACTAGTTCAATGGGACGCCGCAACACTGTTAACGGTGTCAGCTCATATTTGTTTCAAACTTCTGCTGTGAGAGATCAAATAAGAATAATAAAAGTATTAATCCAATTGAGAAGATTCATAGAAAAATTTCGTTATTCCCTCATTTGGATTCAATAAAACATAAAACGATTCAAAAAAATAGAAATCACGCTAATGAAAGAAAAACTTGTTAGTACATAGATATATTCTTCCCTAGACATAAATTACATTGCCCTAGTGTATAAATAAATCAAACTGCCAGATTGACACAAATCTGGAGATTAATAACTAGATTAACACTCTAGTTTTGGAGTTTACTAGAATAACACAAATTTGTGTAAAATTACTAAAAACCCATTTTAATTATATTAGGCTCAAAAAAAAAATCAAACAAAAAACAAAAAAAAAAACAGAAAAACAATTTAACCCTAATGTTTTTATTAATCGTCGACTTCAACTTTTTTTTCTCTATTTCAGCAGACAAAACCACTCTCAGAAACCGCATTAGTTCTCCCACTCCGACAAATACACGAATCCAGCAGCCAATTGAAATCGCCGACTCCGACGAAGACACTAATCCGCCGCCAATTGACTACCACCGCTGATTCGAAGTGAACAGCCACAGACGCCGCCGCCAATTGTTGTGGTTGCGCTGGACTTTTCCGAGTCTCCGGTGGTTCTTCTATTTTACGGTTTCTTCGGTGTCATTGTCACGACTTCTTCTCCGGTGACTCACCAAATTCCTCAATTTTGTTTGCCACCGCCGCTTTAGTATCCGTGGGTCTATTTTCAAAGTCTCTTCCCATTGTCCTCTGTTCCTTCTTTTTCCCGTGGGTCTATTAGCATCACTGTTGTTGTTCTTCATCCATCGGCTATGTCTTTCTCCTCAATTGTACATCGGTGAGTTTAATCTGGACTTTTAGGGGTCAAATTTGGACTATGATTTGTTGTTTTGATTGGTTACTCATTTATTGTTGCAGATCTTACTCTCCACTAGCCATTGTGAGTCCGTTCATCATAATTTTCGTAAGGTATATGGCCAAATTCTTCGGATTTGTTTTAGAAAAAAAATTCTTGCCAATAAATTCTTGCCAATACGATTTTATTCATATGAAAATTGGTTGTAGTTGCCATAGTTTTGTCCTATTTTAGAGAGTAAGTGTCAGACTTTTGGATAAAGTAAGTAGTTTCTTAAGTGTTTTGCTTTTGATGGTATTTAAATTGATCATGTTGTACATGTTATATGCTGATTCAAGATTTTGTTAACGTTTTGGCATGATTTTTAAGCATATTTACGAGCGTTTGCTTCTAGATTAATACATTGTACAAACATATTTTTTCTTTGGTGACTTGCTTTCTATGGTATCAAAAACATGTCTCAGCTAGGAATTATATGGTTGCAATGCTTTTGTTTTCATTACAACCATAGCTATAAGGAACTTAACCTAAATAGAAAATGGTGAACAAAGTGGAAGTTATGAGTTTGAATAAATAACATTGTCAATTTTCTCATGTATTTCAAGATTTTTTTAATGTTTTGGCATGATTTTAAGCTGATTTTGTTGATCCTCTTATATGCTATTAGTTTATTAGCTAAATCTGTTGATCTTGAAATGAAAAATGATCGTTATAGCCACTGTTATTGTGATCCAATGTTAGAGATTTAGTGACAGCTTTTTGGATAAATTCATTTGGTATTAATTAGTTTAACATCAGATTTGTTTTTCTTCTTCTTCTTTTTGAATTACCTCAGTTTCTATGATACAATTGGATTCTTTAGTGAAATGGTGCTCTTTTCTGCCACAGGTCTAGAACGTGCAAGCCTCAGGAACTGAAACTTGAAGGCTTGAGTTTTAGCGAACACTCAATACCTTCTGGTAATGTGAAGTTTATCTAAGTGATTAACCTTTTTTACATATTGAATAGCTACTTTTGTTGATTTCTCATTGTTCTTTTGCTGCATTGCATAGATTTGTGGATCATAAATGACATATTTTTTTCGATTAATTCATTAGTGACCATCTTTTTTGTCCCAATTTAGAGATTAGGTTGTCTTAGAAAATCTGGATTAATTCATTAGTTACTAACAGATTGTCTGATTCTCTTCTTCTTTTATATGCTGCTTTAAGATTTAGTCAATGTTTATGAATGTTTAAGACTTAATGTCATACACATGTATTCACATATGAAGTTTTAAATTGTTTATTAGCTGATTGTATTAATCCTTTTATATGCTGATTTATTATTTTAATAATCTTCAGGAATGGCGTCTTCGAGTAATGTCTTCAAATATCCTCCTCGTCTTTATGCAGAAGGAAAATCACCTTTGCAACATAGAAGCATGAACCACAATTGTTATCTGTCCAAGATTGGTCAAATCAGAGAAGGATTAGGTATTGATTTGTGGGATAAATTGGAGAAATCATCACTAGGTGTGTTTATCAAGCTAGCTGAACTAGAGTACACATGGGCTACCAAGAAAGTACATTTATTCCTCACAAATCAGTTGAAAGTGGATAACTTTCATGAGATATGGTCTATGATTAATGGTAGACCAGTCCGGTTCTCCTTAAATGAGTTTGCTGCTATAACAGGACTGAATTGCGATCCATTTGACCCATCGGAAAAGTTTGAAGCTGATCACCGTGGGAGGCAATGAAAGTACCAATCTCAGAAGGTCCAAAGTTCAATGAGTTGCGAACTGTGATGGATCTTAGCAAGGCATGGGACTTAAAGGAGAGGATGATGGTGGGTAGGTTGTGTTTATTATCAGTGGCAATACCGGTTTAAACCGGATCGAATGAGACATAAACGACTTGAAATTCGAGAGACTTTCCTGTTCTCAGCCGCCGCAATTGCGTGTGCACATGGCAATTTCTCCACATCAAACCTGCAACACGTACACTTTTTATCGACCAAATTTACAACGTGGAGAGATGTTGCACTTGTCACTTGTACTTGTTGTGCATCTATATCTTGCACAGCAAGTAACTTCGCATAGTCAACACGGCTCTGTAAAATGAAAAACATTGTTAATAGTGAAAAAAATATACTTGTTTAACTGACATTGATTGAAAGTATGAGAATATACCTGCAGAATTTTCTCGACACCACGTGTCAAAGATGTAGTCATTTTTAATGCATCACTCCGCCGATCTGAAAACCATTTAGTCATCATGGACCTTATTTCTTCTAACAACTGTGTAATACGAAAACTCCTGGCGTGTGACATCACATTATTCATTGATTCCGCAATATTGCTTGTAAGCAAGTTATACCTATCACCGGGGAAATGTACACGTGTCCAAAGTCGCACATCAGCCCTATCTAGATATGCATGTAGTTCAGGATTTGCCACTTCTATCTGATGGAATATGGTTTGAAAATCTACCTGTTTGAATGCATTCGCAGCCTTCTTAACCAATCCAAATGTTTCTTTACCTTTAAAACGGACCAATATATTTTTGTACAGATGGTATGTACAAATTCCTCTACTCGCCTTCGGATAAACCACCTTGATTGCTTTCGCAATTGATTTGTGCCTATCTGAAATAATGGCTAGGCCCTCATCATCTGGTATGACACAGCTCAGTTGCTTGAAAAACCATTCCCAAAATTCATCATTTTCTGTATCAACCACATCAAAAGCAATCGGAAAAATCTGAAAATTACCATCTTGAGCTGTTGCTGTAAGAAGTGTCCCTTTGTATTCTCCCTGTAGAAAAGTACCATTAACAACCACCACTTTCCTCATGAATGGAAATCCAAGCATGCTTGCACCAAAGGCTAGAAACATGTACTTAAATCTTTTTTCTTCATCAACTTCAAGTCTCGTCAATGTCCCCGGATTAGCCCTTCTTAACATGTACAAGTAAGTAGGTAGTTGCTCATAACCACTCTCTGGACTTCCTCTTACCAATTCTCGCGCATACCTCAGCGTCCTATAAGCCTTCCAATAATCCATCTATTAAGAAAAACGTTTGTTAAAATTTAAAAACGCCAAGTAATGTTTTAAAACGCCAAAAATTATTAAAATTTGTATTGTACCTTGATCTGAAAACGTTTGTTCAATGATTCAACAACATGCATTGGCAATACTTTGGGGCCAATTCCACCAACAAAATCCTTGTATAATACTCCAAGAATATCATGAGTTGCTTGACGGGCACGTGCAGAACGCTCTGTTACTGAACATGAGTGTTCAGAAATAAAAACACGAATATGAAACTTTGGGTAGTCTCTTTGTGTCGTAGCTCGTACCCTCCACGTACACCCTTTTATCCAGCACTTGACAATCAATAGAAAAGGTGTCGATTTGTCTACGTAGAAATCGAATCTCTGTACTACGATAGTATCTTCAGTCGTGTTTCCAAGTGTTCTTTTGATTCGTAACACTGTCCAACAGCCAAATCCACATAAGGCAATTGAAACTTTGCGTAATAATCATCATCTTTTTGTTCTTCAATATATATACCTGAACTCTTTTTCTTCAACGGCAGTATTTGTTTTTCTTCTACAACTGGTGGAATCCCATACAAGCTATAATTCTCATCATTAGAATCTTTTCCGTCAGAGTCGTCACAGTAATCAAATCTCGTTTCTTCATCATCATCGTCGTCATCGCCAACAGCTTCATGAATCAAATCTGTAACTTCCTTAACCAACTCGTTTGCGATTCTTGTTCGTTTTCTCTGCAAGGCACTGTCAACGATGCCATTGTTGTTGGGTTGATTAGCTTCAATTGTAACTTTCTTCTTCACTTCAACACAAAGTCGAATTGTATCGCTCTTCAGTTGCCCCAAAAAAGAGTGAAACTGTCTTGAATTAGTAATAAAAACGGGTGGTGTATCATCCGGTAAATTCTGAGACAACATCTTCGAAATGTTGTAACTCAACACAACATCACAACCTCTATTCTCGATTCCGTAATCCTCCATTCCCATTCGAATGCATTGAGAGTAACTGGTTTCCCTATTAGCTTCCAGAACTCGACATCCTCTATTTGTATCAATGATGAACGACCATTTGTTATTCTCGAAAATCCATTTGCCACATACGAGAATCACCGGATCCATCTCCAACCCTTTCTTTTGAGACATCATGGTGAATTTCAAAAACCCTAGAGAAACGATAGATAGAGAAACGAGATAGAGAAACGGTTTATTTGTATCAACTTGTGTTGGCTGTCGTCCAAGAGGTAGAGAAACGGTTAGGATAGCCCAAAACCCTAGGAAAATAAGGTAAGTTAGATTATCTCGTCATTTATTATTTTTCAGTTATGGAAATTCAAAACAAAAAGTCTGTCGTGTTTTAAAAGTTTGTCATGTAGTCCATCATAAAAAGTCTGTCAACAAATATGTATAAAAACCTGTCATAATATGAATAAAAATTAAAATCTGTCATTGCGTAAAACATATCTGTCATCACTATATGAAGTCATTCCAGCAATTTCTTTTTCATCACTAAATCTGTCGTAATGTGACAGTTTTCTTTTAACTAATCCTAAATCTGTCGTAATGTAAATAAAATCTGTCATCACAGAAATATTTCATTTGCGATTGTATGTCAATCTAGCAATTTTTTTTTGTATGACAAATCTGCTATCACTCGACAGTTTTTTTGTTAAAAAAAAAAAACTGTCATTACATAAAAAAAAATCTGTTATCACTACTAAGTCATTCTAGTAATTACTAGTAATTATTTTTCCAAAAACAAATCTGTCACTTGATGACATATATTTTTATGAAAATTAAAAGTCTGAGGCCACTATGACCATAATCTGCCACTAATTTTAATAAATCTGTCAAAGTGATGAAAGTCTGTGGTGTTAAATTAAGTCTGTCACAACCTGTTAAATTAAGTCTGTGAGAGATAAAAAATCTGTCACAGAAAATCTATCGTTCATAAATAAGTCTGCCATTTAAAATAAACCTGTCATAACGAATCCAACAGACTTTTAAAAATCCAAAAAAATTTCCTAAATTTTTTTCCTAACGTTTTTCGAAAAATTTAAGGGTAAATTTGACTCTTTTTTTTTCCTAACAAAGAGAGCAAGGGTATTATCGTCATGAAAATAACCAGTCTAACCCCCATATTTTATGAGACATTCTAATAATTAAAGTCATTATTTGGGTCAATCTAGTAAGTTTCCCATTATGAAAAAATCCTAAAAGTTAAAAATAAAAGATAAAACAAAAAAGAAAAAATACTCGTTGTTTGACAATAGACATACACCGATCGGTCAGGCGTTGCACCGATCGATTCCAATAGCAATCCATACCGATCGGTTCTTTGCATGTCTACTCTGACACTGAGTTTTATAGTGATGTGCGATTAATTTAGCTTCATGGTTTTACCTTAGATACCTTACATTAAACTGCAAGTGCACAATAATAAATAGTTGTATTTAAGGATCGATATCTCACACAGAGTGATAGCTATAAGGACATAATTCAAGAAATGAAATCTCGCTAAGTGATACATCGTATTTTACCTATATTAGCTATTGTTTTCTTATGTTTTAGGAAGCATTTGAAGTAATTTCAAAGCCAAAGAGAAAGTCTTAAATATTTCAAGAGTCAAGAAGGTTTTAAAGAAAAAAGGATCAAAAGGTGAGCAAAATAGGTTTTCGGACAAATACGAAAATCCGAAGTTTTGCATCCGTTGGAGACCTTCCCTTTCATCACCAATTTGAGAGTTCTTGGACTCTATCGATAGATAGAAAGGTCAGTGACCGCAGCAAACTGGAATTAGACTCATACGATCAATGGTCGTTTTTAGTGCATGTTTGAATGGAGCCTTGCTCGAGGCGGGTCACAAAGAGTGTGACCGGTGGTGAAGCCCCTCTTGGGACCTATCACCGCCAATGTGACAGGTGTGGTGCCTTCCCCGGAGCTCGGTCATGAAGCCCGTACTCATTCTGAAGCCTCGTCCCCGAACTTAATTAAACTACATAGTTTTTCTCTAGAAAACCCTAAACGACTTCTACTCCCTAAAACCAATAAATACTTTTTGTAAAACCCTAAAAACGGTGTCCCATTGAAGGGTGTCAAAGAAGTGCCTCCCAAGCGTCTCCCTTGAAGCCGCAACCATCCCTCTCTTGATTTGAAGCTTTGAAAACACCAAATCCTTCTTTCTTTTCTCTCGTTTGTTCTAAGATCTATTAAGGTGAAGTCTTACCTCTTGTATCCAGCGATTAAAGAAGAAATCTCTAAACTCTATTCAATTATTATTCATCTTATTCTTATGAGTTTATCAGACTTTGCTTTGATGAGTTCCTTAACCTTGCTAGAGTAGTTTCTAGTTGGGTTTAAAGGGCTAATCAAAGGAGGGACATGATCGATTGATGTGTGTGGAAGTTCACTTCAGTCTTTTACCTGAAAGACCACACATTAAACCGCTAGTGCACAGTAATCAGAGCAGTATTTTAGGATCGATCACACTGAGAGTGTAGCTACGGGTTATTGAATTCAAACAAGAAGATCTAGCTAAGACAAAATTAAACTTGGGGGTTTTGGTTTTGGGTTTCGTAATAACTAATGCAATGAAATAAGAAAGCAAATGAATGAAAGCTAAGTAAACTAATGCAAGCTAAATAAATGATCGGTTTTAAACTAATATGACTAAGACGTTGGGCGTTCTAGGGTTTCTCCAGGTATC